AGAGAGAACAAAACCTTCTCATTGGTCTTATCAGTTACACGTGTATTTACTACATGACACCTTGAATACTTTTTCCTTCATGCTCTATAGGACATGATTTACCTGAGGAAAAAAGTAAGTGAAATATTTTTCCACCCCTAAATCTCAACTGAAAGATGAATAAACTGGAGTTTAATAAAAGAGAAAGTTATTTTTAACAGTGGACTGCTCTTGAAACCCTGGTGCTTATTGGGTTTATTTCATCACTCACCCAGGTTTGCTTGCCTCCTGACTTTCTGTGAAAGCTTCAAGTGATTCTCTGAAAGAGACAGCAGAGCCAAGAATCAACAAAAGAAAAGCAATGGAAGAAATTTTTACTTTTCCTCACCTATCTGGCCTAGTGTTGGCAGATATTCCTATAATTCTCATCTTTAGAGGATAGTTGCCAGATGACTCATTAACAATGAATTGACTCAAATTTAAGAAAATGGTATCCTAGTTTTTCATAGACATAGGAATTTGGATTCAGGACAAAAATATTTGGAACGAAAAATTGATAGATGTGAAGTGGAAAAGAAGAGCTAATAAAACACTGAAGTCTTATACTCTCTTTTCTATATATGATTCTTCCCTCTTCTGGATCCTATTTTATATTCCATTCTCATCATCAGACATTTTCTAATGTCTTTCCTGAAGTGGCTGGACTTCAGCAGATTGATGCTCTCATTTCTTTACCAAAGGAGATTGCTAATGAGTTGCATTTTTTTTTCAGCTGACACTTAATGATCCATTTTCAGATAATCAGTTGCTAACACCCCAACAGCAGGGCCTAAAATCCTGACTTGGCCCTGTGCTCAGTGTAACACACTGGCTGCACTTCATTAAGGAACTGAGATACCTCCAAATGCAGCATGGGACTGCAGAGTCTACAGAACAAAGGAACCCACAGAAACATGTCTAGTCTCTGGTTACTGAAGAAATTTTACAAGGAGATCCCTTTGAGACCTATTTCTTCCTCAATATTCATGTCTAAATCATGACATAAGATGAGCCTTGAGATGACACTACTGGTGAGTTGAAAAGCTCTGTGAGTTGTCTGTAGTAAGCAGTACACTGGAGGAAGTGCAATGTTGCTCTTTATAAATAATCAGAGCAGTTCCATTCTAAGGAGCACAGCAAATTGAAATTCACTGAACAATAGAAACCTCCAGATTCCGCAAGTCACATATATTTAGATTTCTGGATTTGATTCTGAAGTACTAGAATTATTTTTATTCTGCTTTATCTATCCAGTTTACTCATTTATTTAGTTTTTTTTTTTTTTTAGTTAGTTAATTACTTGCTGTAAACTGAAAGGACTATTTCTTTACGAAGTTCTTTCTGCCACTGGATGATACATGCTTTCTGGCAACTGCAGTAATCGGGTGTCTATTCCAATTGACGGAGGATTTTTCAAGGGAAGTAGATTTCCTAGACATTCCAGGTGTTGCATTTTAAATAGGCTGCCATGAAGTAGAGCCTGATCTGCAGCAGCACACTGGGTACTATGCCCTTAGGCATCCAGATGGTCTTTGGATGTTGCTAATGTCAAGCTGATTTGAATAAGTGTTCTAGAAAAAACTGACAAGCAAAGTACTCAAGGCCAGACATGCAAACTTAATGCATGTATATTTGTCCACTCCCATCAAGATACTCCATAAGGAATAGAAGAGGTAAGATTCCTTTCTTTGTCTCTGTGCATGTGTATATGTGTGTTCATGTTAGCCCATTAAATGGTTTCTTAGAAAGTTATGAGATTAAAAAAAATCAAAAGCAATGACACTTTAAAGAGAAGAATTTTCACTTAAAACAAAATGAGAATTTTAAATCATTTCTTCACTCATTCATTCACTTCAAAAATATATGTGTTATGACAGACACTGTTAGATACAGGGACTATCCTTGTGACTGGTCATATACCCTGAGGAACCAGAAGTGAAAGAGACACTCAAGTCCCAGTGTTCACTGCAGCGCTATTTACAATAGCTAAACATGGAAGCAACCTAGATGTCCATCGACAGATGAATGGATAAGGAAGTTGTGGTACATATACATAATGGAATACTACTCACTTATAAGGAGTCATTTGAGTCAATTCTAATGGGGTGCATGAACATGGAGCTTATTATACAGAGTGAAATGAGTCAGAAAGAGAAAGATAAATATTGTATTCTAATGCATATATATGGAATTTAGAAAAATGGTACCAACAATCCTACATGCAGAGCAGCAAAGGAGAAACAGATGTAAAGGACAGACTTTTGGACTATGTAGGAGAAGGCGAGGGTGGGATGATTTGAGAGAATAACATTGAAACATGTATATTATGATCAGTGCAAGTTTGATACATGAAGCAGGGCATTCAAAGCCAGACACACAAGGGATGGGATGGGGAGGGAGGTGGGAGGGGGTTCAGGATGGGGGAAAACATGTATGCCTGTGGCTGATTCATGTTGATGTATGGCAAAAAAACACCACAATATTGTAAAGTAGCTGCCTTCCAATTAAAATTTACTTAATTACAAAAAAAGAACTTCTAAGATCCCTGTCCTCATAAGGCTTACCTTCTAGGTGAGGAAACATAATATACAAACACACAAGATGATAGCAGATTGTAATAAGTGCTCTGAAGGAAATGAAAGAGGTCAATAAGCAAAGAAAGGCAGGGCTTGGAGTAGGAGCCAGAGGTAACCTGTAAACTACAATGTGAAGAATGAGAAGGAGCCAACTTGACAAAAACTGGAGGGAAGAGCATTCTGAGCAGAAGTAACTGCCCTGAGGCACAAGGAGTTGGTATTTTCAGGGACAATAAAGAAACCTGGAATGTAGAATGAATTAGTGCTATAGTTCGCAAGCACAGAACTGCATTTCAGACAGTTGTACCATAGGACAGCATGGGAAGGATAGATGTTTCCCCCACAATTTCACACTCAGACAGGAGTACCTCTCACTCTTCTTATTTTTAATTTCTCATCCCTAAATTGACTAGAACTATTTCAAACCAACTTATGACAGCTTATATTACTTTTTAAGGTGTAATGAACTTTGGTGGTTACCTACCTGCAGTTTTGTATAATCTTTCCTTTCTTTTTGCCCTAAATTGACCTATTTGAATATTCAAAAAGTCACTTTAAAAAAAAATTCTAATGTTCTGAGACATGAGATATCTGCTCTCATTTTTTCCCTACACAATCCAGACTTTTTCTTACCTTAGAAAAATCCACCTTTAATTTCCATCACATGCAAACTTAAAAGGTTTTTTTCCCCTCTTTTTTAGCTTGTTCTTATCTATTTAACTATTCTATGGTCACTAGAGTCACCTCCACATAGGAAGAGTTGGTATAGTGCACTTGGGTTTTTGAGGAGTTGAAAAGGATTCCACGTCCCTAAAACAGTTTTGCCTATTAGCCCAACAGTTTGAATAAAATGTTTGCCTTTGTGACTTCTTTGGAGTGAATGACTGAGGACTCTTACTTGCAAGCTTAGAAGAATAACCATTAACTCTTTGAAAAAGCCCTTTCTAAGGGATCAGCCACTGAAGAAATTATGAAAAAGGAATTGAACACCTGGGGATGGGAAATCAGAATTATATTTCTGGGATCACCACTTTACTTATTATGTGAATCTACACAACTTCTGCAGAGGTATATTGATTGTAGTAGGTTTCTGGATTCATAAATATCTGTATCCTGATTTGTACTAGGATTCAGACATACCCAGAATTCTGGTTCCACTGCTGACTAGCTGAACAAATCATGTAACTTCTATGATATTCATTTTCCTTACCTGTAAAATGAAGAAAACAACTGTATTTAAGTCATAAGGCTATTGAGATAATCAAATGAAATAATATAATTAACTTATTTCGTCCAAAGTTAGCCCACAATGCAGAGTCATTATAGCTGTTAAACTTCCTGAACTTTTTATTCCTGTCTGTAAAAAGTGAACAAGATTTCCACAAATCACATGGGTACTGAGCTTTATAACCCTGTTTGTAAATATTAATAGAATAGTTTAGAGATGGATACATAGAGAAGCAGAAAGTAATCACTGTAGATGAAACAATGCTATACCACCCAGCTCTGTTTTGTAACTGAAGAACCTATTCCTCCAGCTTTTGAGAGCACTGACAGCAGATAGTTTTCAACTTTCAGCTCTTTCCAGAATTGCCTTAGCAGTGTCTAGTCTGTATCCCCCACCTCTGCCCAGAATGGAAAGGAAAATAAAAGTCTGGTTTTTGTCCAATGTGACATAACTTTAAAGAGTTACTTAATTTTAAAATCCCTATGGATCAGCTGAAGACTTACCTGAGACTACATCATAGCACAACTTCTCCTTCCCAAATTTACTTTCTTCCTTACCGTTTCTCATGTGGAGATCCCAAGAGAACTCTCCTATATTCTAATTTCTGCCTCAGTGTCTTCTTCCTGGGAAGCTGATCATGTGCCCTAACCCATCAAAAATTCTTCCTTTGGTCCTAGAGGTTGCCACTTCACTTTTGCTTTGAAATTAGTTACTGTGTCAAATTTATTTCCAAATATCCCAGTTTGATCATATTTTTAGCTTGTGTTCATATAAATACAATCATTTTTGAAGTAACCTCCTCACTGTAAATTAAATCAGAGACACAAAACACACAGACACATATACACACAAATGAAGTATTAGGTGGCAGACATCTTTGTAACCATAATCTAGATTTAAAACATTAAAATTTTATCAGTCATTCAGAAGCCCCTCCATTGTGTCATATCCTAATCACAACCTTCCTCCATCCGGACAAACTACAAAAGTAAAACAATTCCTCACACTTCTCTGTATTTTTATCACATAATTGTACATTCCTAAATGATATGTTCCTTAGGTCTCTTTTAATCTAACATTTCTCCTTCATTTATAAAAATTATCTCTTGGAACCAGAGCGAGGAGGCTGCGGGCAGCACCAGCAGGCACCTGGGCTCCAGCTATGCCACCTCGTTATGATGACCAGCGTGATTAAGACAGTGTACACCCTGCAGTCCTCCTGTGTGCTGAGCAGCGGCCTGCCCGCAGATGCACAAACTCGAGCCACTTTTAAGAGCCAGTTATCTGTTAAGTCCAAAGAAGTTGATGTTTCCAGACCTCATTCAGGAGCTTCAAAGAATGATGTTACAAAAATCATCAAACCGAGACAAGAGAATGGGCAAGTGAAGGCTACAGATACCTCCAGAAGGAACCTCAGGAAGAGCTACAAACCATGGAGTAAACAGAAATTGGAAGAAGAGCTCAAGGATAAGAACCAGCTCTTAGAGGCTCTCAACAAGCAGTTGCACCAGAAATTGATTGAAACTCAGGGAGAGCTGAAGGACCTGATTCAAAAAGTAGAGCTGCTGGAGAAGTTTCAGGACAACTGTTTGGCAATTTTAGGAAGCAAAGGCCTCAACCCAGGTAGTGAGACCTTGGCATCACAGCAAGACTCCACCGCAGATCACATGGACTCCATGCTGCTGTTACAAACTTTGCAAGATGAACTGAAGCTTTTTAACAAAACAGCCAAAAAGCAGATGGAGGAGTTACAGGCCTTAAAGGTAAAGTTGAAGATGAAAGAAGACAGAGCCCAGTTCCTTGAACAACAGACCTTATGTAGCAGTCAAGTAAATGATTTCACAACAGCCCTTGAGGAAATGGAACAGCTATTAGAAATATGATAAAAAGCAGGTGGCCACATGGCTCTCTCTTGGGGATAGACTCTCAGAGGAAGCTACTTAGGACATCTGCTTCTTGGCCGTGATCTTCTAGAACTCACCATCCCCAGAATGAAAACAGTTTCTGCAGTAGGATTAAAGACGATTGATGTTGGAATGACAATTCCTCCCTTAAGCAAGCATTCGTTCCCAGCCTTCAGACTGTCCAGCTCTCCTGAACCTCACAGTTCATAATTAGGGCCTACAGGAGAGGGGGCCTGAAAGCTTGGATCAGCCTCCTAGGATCAAAAAGCAGCACATCATTAGCATCAGGAGACTCTAAACCAGCCACAACCAGAGAAGCCAAAATATGTGCAGGAAGAAACAGTGAAGCATACATGCTCCATGGGAGACATCCCTGAGGAGTCACGTCCCTTCCTAACTTGGAACACATTCTGTCCCATCCTGGCTGGGCTCTGTAACCTCACTGTAAATTTATGAACTGAAAGTTACCTGAAATGGCTTAATAATGGGGTGAAGGTATGGATAGAAATAACATGTATGAAACAATACAACTTGGAGCTTTTAATCTAAATCATTTCTGTGTTTTTTTTAATAAAGTGTTACTTTTAAATAAATATTTCTGTAACTATTCAGACCGCAAAAAAAAACCTCTCTCTTATAATTTATCTCTTACAAAGTTAGACCATTCAACCTGTAGTTTCCCATGGTCTGGAATTTGCTGATGGTACTTTCATGGTACTGTTTAATATAATCCTCTCTCCTTGTTATTTTCTGAAGGTGACAACTAGATCCAAAGTTTGATAAACTCAAATCTGATTCTTTTGGCAAAATACAACCTTGTTATGGGTTATGTTATATTCTTTCCTCAGGAGAGACATAAGTTCTGGCTATCTGTATTTTTGATGTTAGTAGCTCTTAATGCTTGATACTTACAGTTATTATTTTATTGTGTTTGAATATGGTGATATTCAAATTTTATCATTTCTGTTTTAATAATTAGTTGGATTATTTTAATAAAGACACACTTCTCCACATGTACCAATTGGTTACCTGGTCGGAAAATTTATATAAGAAGAGAAGGATAAATCCTCAAGCCTTTTCCTTTACCAGAAAATGAACTGGTTAGCTATCATGTTATTGAGGTTATTGGTTATTTCATATTAATATCATTATGCAATCTTGAATTTAAATATATTTGATAGTTTTTATATCATTTTAATTTTTATTCCTACTGAAGCTCAACTTGTCCCATATCTGTCCAGTGAGAGCCCTTACTTTGCTCCTGAATCCAGTTTGACAAGTAGTTTTTGTATTTTTAATAGATTCCTTGCTATATAATATAACCACACATTATAAGCTTATCATGTGTCTCTTCAACCCCAGACCTTTTCTCTGTGGAGAAATGTAATCAGCTTGTTTAAGTGGAAAATAGTATTTCAAAAGGGTTAACTATTGTTTCTAGTCATTTCAATAGACAGAAATAGGCTGATTCATGTTGATGTATGGCAAAAACCACCACAATATTATAAAGCAATTACCTCCAATTAAAACAAATGAATTAGTTAAAAAAATAGAAAATTTCATATATAAGTGAATTGCATATAAAATTATAATCATACATATTATATGTTTAAATCAAGAGAATATATGTTATATAAAATTATATATTGAGCTCATACATATCATATGATTTTACTTTAGCATATATTATGTATGTAAGTTCCAGGAGTTGGTGATGGATAGGGAAGCCTCGCATGCTGCAGTCCATGGGGTCACAAAGAGTCGGAGACGACTGAGTGGCTGAACTGATATATAATTTTGTGTCAGTGTATATAATTATTCATGAGTTTATATCAATACTTGCAATTCAAATGCAATAGTATGGGGTTTTAGTTATCTTTTACTATATTACACCTGTATCTCCTTTCTGTAGGAAGAATTCTGTTTCTCAAAAACAGAGAATGATAGAAATCAATTATCATATAAATGTTCATTTGCTTAATCCAATAACACATAAAAGTCTCAAAATAGCAGTACTAAAATTATTGCCCCAATATTATTAATGAAAATAAATTTTTATATATGTTTTCTACCTATGACCCATTCGTTTTTTTTTTTTTTTTTTTTTTTTTTTGAGCCATTCGTTTTTAAATAATTGTGTTATCTCTACTATGGTATAACATACAGCCATTTTTCAGCTTCCCTGGTAGCTCTGCAGGTAAAGGATCCACCTGAAATGCAGGAGGCCCTGGTTCAATTCCTGGGTTGGGAAGATTCCCTGGAGAAGGGATAGGATACCCACTTTAGTATTGTTGCTTGTGCTTTTGTGTCGTACCCAAAAAATTCATTGCTAAATGTCATGGAGCTTTACTCTCCACGTTTCTTCTAGGAGTTTTATGGCTTTAATTACTACTTTTAAGTATTTAATCAATTTGAGTTAATTTCTGTAAGTAAAAGGTGTCCAAATTTATTATTTTGCATGGGCTTATCCAGTTTTCCCAACACCATTTACTGAAGAGACTGTCATTTCTGTATTGAGTATTCTTGGCTCCCCCATTCAATTATGAGTTGATTTTGTACTGTTCAGTTGCTAAGTTGTGTCCAACTCTGTGACCCCATGAACTGTGGCACACCAGGCTTCCCTATCCTTCACTATCTCCTGGAGTTTGCTCAAACTCATGCCCATAATGATGCTATCTAGCCATCTCATCCTCTGCAGCCTCCTTCTCTTGCCCTCAATATTTCCCAGCTTCAGGGTCTTTTCCAATGGCCTTGTACACATATGTTTATTTCTGGACTCTTGATTTTGTTCCATTGGTCTAATGTGTCTGTTTTTATATCAGTACCATACTCTTTCTACTACTATAGCTTTGTAATATAGCTTTGAAAATTTGTGGTCATTTTTAATGAAGTGTAGTTAATTTATAATGTATTAGTTTCAAGTACACAACAAAGTGTTTTTTATATGCACATATATATTTTTTTCAAATTCTTTTCCGTTATAGGTTACTACAAGATATTGACTATAGCTGTCTATGTTATATAGTGGGTCCTTATTTCTTATTTGTTTAATATATAGTAGAATGTATATGTTAATCCCAAACTCCCTACCCCTGCTATCTCTTTTGGTTACCATAAGTTTGTTTTCTATGAATCTATTTATGTTTTGTCAGTAAATTCATTTATATCATTTTTTAGAATCCACATATAAGTGCTATCACATGATGTTTGTCTTTCTCTGTCTGATTTACTTCACTTAATATGATAATCTCTAAGTCCATCCATGTTACTGCAAATGACATTATTTCATTCTTCTATGGCTGAGTAATATTCCCTTGTATATATGTACCACATCTTATTTATCCATTCCTCTGCTGGTAGACATTCAGGCTTCTTCCATGTCTTGGCTATTGGGAATAGTGCTACCATAAACATTGGGGTACAGATATCTTTTTGAATTAGAGCTTCTATCTTTTTCAGGTATATGCTCAGGAGTGGGATTGTTGGACCATATGGTAAATCTATTTTTAGATTTTTCAGGAACTTTCATATTGTTTTCCATCGTGGCTTCACCAACATTCCCACCAACAATGTAGAAAGTTTCCTTTTTCTCCAAACTCTCTCCAGCATTTATTATGTGTATATATCTTAATGGTAGTCATTCTGGTTGGTATGTGATGATACCTCTTTATAGTTTTGGCTTGAATTTTTTAATAATTAATGTGCCTCTTGATCATCTGTATGTCTTCTTTTGAGAAATGTCTATTTTTGATTATCTGCCTATTTTTGGATTGGGTTGTTTGTTTGTGTTTTTTAATATTAAACTGTATGAACTGTTTGTATATTTTGGAAGTTAATTCCTTGTTGGTAGCATCATCTACAAATATTTTCCCCTAGTCTGTAGATTGTCTTTTCATTTTCTTTATGATTTCCTTTGCTGTGAAAGAGCTCCTAAGTTTAATTAAAGCTGTTTATTTTTGTTTTTATTTCCATTACTTTAATAGATAGATCAAAAATATTGCTTTAATTTATATCAGAGTATTCTGCCTATGCTTTTTCCTCTAGGAGTTTTATAGTATCTGGTTTTACATTTAGATATTTAATTCATTTTGAGTTTGAGTTTACTTTTGTATATAGTATTAGAGGAGGTTGGAATCTTTTTTCTTTTACATGTAACCGTCTAGTTTTCCCAGCACCATTTATTGAAGAGCATGTCTTTTTGTCCATTGCATATTCTTACATCCTTTGTTATAGATTAATTAATCATAAGTAAGTGGTTTTATTTCTGGAATTTCTATCCTGCTCCATTGATCTATGTACCTGTTTTTGTGCCAGTTTACCATACTTTTTATTATTATTACTGTAGCTTTGTAATATAATTTGAAGTCAAAGAGTATGATTCTTCCTGCTCCATTCTTTCTCAAGATTGTTTTAGCTATTCAGAGTCTTTTGTGTTTCCATACAAATAGAAAATATGTGATTATCTCAGTAGATGCAGATAAAAGTTTTGCTAAAATTCACCATGCATTTGTGATAAAAATTCATCAGAATGTGGGCATAGAGGGAACATACCTCTACATAATAAAGACCATATATGACAAACTCACAACTAAAATCATACTCAGTGGTGAACAGATGAAAGCATTTCCTCTAAGATAAGGAACAAGACAAGAATGCTCACTGTCACCACTTTTATTCAACATAGTTTTGGAAATCCTAGCCACAGCAATAAGACAAGAAAAGGAAATAAAAGGAACCCAAATTATAAAAGAAGTAAAGCTGTCACTGTTTTCAGATGACATGATGCTATATATAGAAAATCATAAAGATGCTACCAGAAAATAATTAGAGCTTATCAATGAATTCAATAAATTTGCTAGATACAAAGCTAATATTAAAAAGTCTGTTGCATTTCTATACACTAACAACAAAATATCAGAAAGATAAATTAAGGAAATAATTCCATTTGCCATTGCATCAAAAATAATTTTTTAAACACC